CAGGCGTCCTTGAACCCCCTTCCTGTGTGTGTGTGTGGGGGGTGTAGGGGAGGTCAAGGCCAGGGCTGCATGCAAACAGCCCCCCCCCCTGCTGTGTTCACACTTACACCCAAGTATGGAGGAGGTAGCCTCTGGCAGGAAAGCCACCTCTTGCACCCAACCCAGCCCCTCCTCTGTGGTTAGGCCCTCACCCCATCTTCAGCAGCCCTGAGTGGTCAGATGTGACCAGCCCATGGCTCCCTGGCCTGCTCACTGCCGCGTGTGTGTGTGTCTGTGTGTGTAGCGTTGGTGGAGGGGGCTGTGTTATGAGATCCTCCACATACCCCAGATGCCCATGGAGACATGAGGACCCCCCCCCTCCAAGAGGGAAAGCAAGAGCAGGGCTCAGGACCATGCCTCCCCGGCCACTTCATCTGGCTGGGGGACTGTGGGGGACCCATCTTGCTACCACAAGCTGGTTCCCAGAAAGCCTGAACCGTGTCTGCCCCCAGCTTAGAAGCAGCCTCCGGCATTGCTGAGGCCCGGGCTTCCGCAGGTGGCTTTACCTCTCTGGACTTCAACTCTATGCCTCGTGGCCTGTGGGGCACTCGGGACTCCATTGTCCCCAAGTCCTGCCAGGGCAGGGAGGCCTCTCAGACCACTTGGAAAGGGAGAGGCACCACTTGACATTCCTGAGCTGCCACGGGGCCACTGCCAGGGTGTTGGGTTTAGGCCGGGGGAGGAGGGAGCTAGCCCAAAGGCAAGGGCAGGGCTGGCCAGCTGGGGCCATTTTTGTGTGTGTGTGAGGGGAACCCTCGAACCACTCCTGTGCAGCCAGTCCCAGTCCCGATGGGGTTTCTCTCAGGCTGGCTGCCATAGCCCCCAGCAGGCTACACTGGTCTCCGCCCTCTGTGGAGCTACCAGCTGCTTGTGCTGGCCAGTGGGACTTGGGGAGGAGGCAGGGGAGGGATAGGTGCAGCCATGGCCCAGGGGGTGAATTTAGGCCTTTGGGAAAGAGCAGTTCCGGCCTGGGTCTTTGTTCTGCAGCTAGCACACAAAGCAGACTCAAGCCAGAGCTTCCCCATTTGACTTTTTTTTTTTTTCAAGCTCAAGCTCACCACACCCTGAGCCTGGCTGTTAGGCCCCCGACACAGCTTTCTGGGAAGAGTAGGATCTGGGAGGCAGGGGCCGCAGAGTGATCCCAGCCTGTCCCCAAAGGCATCTGTAGGTGGCACGGGGGCGCTCCTTAGAGTGGCCCTTAGCAAAATGAGGCAGCACGCAGACGGCCAGCGAGCATGTGAAGATACTCAGCTTCAATTATCCGAGAAAGGCAAAGCAAAACCACAACGAGGCAGTACTCCGCAGCCAGTAGGGTGGCTATTATATAAAAAAAAAGGAACAGAAGAAAGTAATGTCGGGAGTAAAATGTTCCTTCTGGTCTTTTAGGTCCTTTACCAGGTCCAACAAAAATCAATGTAAGACAGATTAACAGGAGAAAATCTAATTAGAAAGACAGGAGACTCAGGGCAAGTTGGGCCACGGAAGCTTCCAAACTCTCCTGAGCTTAAGAGTGGGATTCAGCTGGGAAGAGGACAACCTCCAGGAAAAGAAAGTTTGGTAATTAGATGTTTGCCCTGCCCTGCAGATAGTTCATTCAGATCCAAATTATCTGTGGCTGTGAGGTCTCCTAGACCAGGCCCCCCTCTAAATTCTTTAGGTAATTAAGGGAGAGATCAAAGTTTGTCTTGAGCCCGCTGGGTCTTGGTTGCCTTCAGCTCAAAATAATCCTCATGCCAACATGGCATACTTTGGGGTGACCTGTTCTGAACCCCTTCAGTAACAAATGTGGAGAATTGGAATCCTCGGGCACTGCTGAGATTATAAAGTGTCGTGACTGCTATGGAAGAGGCTTTGGAAGTGCCTTTAAGAGTTAAAATAGAACTACCAGTGGAGCTGGCACCCCAGCTCTTGGCATGAAGCTCAAAGAGCTATTTGCACTCCCTGTTCATAGTAGCCTTTCCCACAATAGCCAAGAGGTTATGCTCTTTAAAGAATGAGTGGATAAACAAAGTGTGGTCAATGCCTGCTGTGGAATATTATTCAGCCTTAAAGAGGAAGGAAATTCTTACACCTGCGACCACGGGGGTGAACCTGGCAGACATGATCCTAAGGGAAACAAGCCTCACAGAAAGGCAGACACAGGATGCATATAGAGAAACGTAGTCAAATTCACATAGGTCAAGTAGGATGGGGGTCAGAGTAGAGGGCGTGGGGGGCAGAGCAGGGAGGGGGGACGTGACTGCTTAATGGGTATTGTTTCAGATTTGCAAGATGTAAAGTTCCAGAGATGTTTCAGAACAGTGTGGATCTACTCACCACTACCTACACTTAAAAATATTTACGATGGCACATTTAATGTTTTTATCATGATCAACAAAAAATGATGTAAAGAAACAAAGTAAAGGGACAAAACTAAACCCAAACAAACCCTAAAAATCTGACTGCAAGCACTGAGGCCCCTTGAGGGTGGGGGTAGGAGTGGGAGCTAAAGGGAGGAGGGAACCAGATGCCTGCCGTGGAGGACTGTGGGTACTCTGGTGGTGGGGGTGGTGTGGTTCACAGGTGGGATCCTGTACCCCCTAAGTCATATACAGTGTCAAAAAATGATACAATTTAAAAAAAAACCTCTAAATGGTGGGATCCACAGAATTTCCACATGGTGCCTGGGGAAACTCTGCACCCCTCCCCCGACACCGTGTCCCTGCATCTTTCATTTGTCTGTTCCTGAGTGTAGCCTTTCTAATATAGTAGTAATATATAATAAAATTTTTGAATGAAAAAAAGTGAGGGAGGTGCTGGAAACATCATTTAGTCCAATTGTTCCAACTTAGAGATGAGAAAACGGAGGCTCAGTGAGGTGCTTCTTGCTGGGAAAAACAGTAAATCAGGCCTGGCAGATGGTCAGCTGTGGCCCAGCTGAGGGGTGCAAGAGGCCACTGTGGAGTTGGCCTTGGCCTCAGTGACCAGCATGTGAGCCTGCCTTTAACCCAAAAGGGTTAAAACGGTCCCCACGCCAGGGCACTGAGAGGCCTGAGTGAGTTATCTAGAAAATTCACTTAAGAGCAACAAACGCTGTGTGGCTGATGTCAACTTGAAGAGCTGAGAGTTCCACAGAACATTCCACAGAGCGTCTCTCCCCCAGCCCAAGCCTGCAGAGCAGGGGTGGGGCAGTGTGAGGGCATGGAAAGTGTGGGTACAAAGCTGGACTCACAGGGGCCTGGACTGCCTGAGCCTCCACCCCTCTGAAAAGCAGGGCAGGATCTCAGGGGGCGCCAGGCACAGGCGAGTCTTTAGCCAAAGGGGTCCTGATGCTCTGGGGCTCATTCATTCCTGTCCTGTGGCCACCATGTCCTCTGCGGGGCCTCTTGTGCCTCAGTTGATTCATCTGCAAAATGGGAAAATAGTACCTCAGAGGGCTGCTGTGAGCATTAAGTGAATTTCAGCTAAAGGGCTTGGAAGCCTCCTCCATCTGACACTCAGGCCAGTCCCTCCCCACCCCAGGATTCTCAGCCCCAGTGTAGGCACCCCCAGCACCAGGGACTGTGTAGAGCACATGGGGCCCCCACATTGCCCCGGAGACATATAGGCCTCAAATACAAGCTGCTATTGGGCAACAGAGGGGCCAGCATGTGTTCCTTGGTGCCTCACGTACCTCCTGGTTACCTCAGCTCTTGTCTGTTCACGATGGCCCTACCAGGGCCTGACCTCTGAGACATCACCTGGCATCCCCTGCCTGGTGTCCCCTGCCTGGCATCCCCTGTCTGGTGTCCCGTGCAGAGACAGGCAGCTCCAGGGCCCAGACCTTCAGCCTCCCTTGTCCCCCAGCTGACCACAGATTACACAGAGTAGGACTGAAAGGGACTGTTATTCAGGAGAGGATGTTGGGGTTCCCCCCTGTAACATGGCTACGATCATCTTCACCCTTCATTGCTTTTGCTGCCTTCTCCATCTGACACCCGGGCCAGTCTCCCCACACCCAGGATTCTCAGCTCCAGTATAGGCACTCCCAGCACCAGGGACTGTCAAGCACATGGGTTCCCCACATTTGCTGAATGAGTGAAGGTACATTTGTGACAGGAGGTCTAACCTGTGAGTATCTGAGGGGGCTGGGGCGGGGGACTTAAACACATATGGAATGGGGTGGGGGTGGGGACACTGGTAGGAGAAACCTGGGAGTCAAAAGACCAAGAACGAAGAGGCTGCTGGCTGGAGAGGGTGATGGGGGTGTGGGGGAGGACCTTGACCCGGAGTCCTGGCCAGCAGCCCGCAGCTGCCGGATCTACCAGCTGAGTGGCCCAAGGTTCTGGCCAATAGGGAAGTCCCCTGAGGCACCACCAGCCCAGGAGAGAGCTACCCAGAAACTGTGCGCCCCCTTCACTGGTGGGCAGGACACCCCCTAGCCAAGGTCCACCCCCTCATAGGTGGGGAGGGAATCACAAAATACTTCCCTGGCCCACCCTTCAGAGGAGGACCTCTTCCACCTGACTACTGACCCTTGCCAAAAACACATCAAAGGCCAGGGCTGGACGAGCAGGGGCCTCCAGTCCTTGCCTGCGCTGCTCAGACATCACAAATCAATCCTGCCATAGGCCTGTGGCTGGCAGACATCACCAATCAACCCTGATGTGCCAGGCAGCTGCCAAGCTTTGGCTCTGAGTTCCAGGCTTTCCTTAGTCGCAAACAGGGGGAGTAGAAGGGCGTCTGCCCAAGGTTCCTGTGGGGCAGCAGCAGAGTCAGCCTCAGCATCCGTCTCCCTGACAGCAGACCACTTTCCCCAGGGAGAGGAAGCCAGGGTCATCCCCTGCAAACCCACAGCCCCACAGAACACTCAGGAGAACCTGGTGGTGCTCCCTGCAGCAATCCCTTCAGGATTTGGGCTTAATCCCAAGCACGAGGGCGGGCACGGAAAGGATTTGGTTTCATTCTTTCAGATGCCCAAGCCTTGGCCCCAGCCCCAGGACGCAGAAGTGAAGGCGCGTGGATGCCCAGCCTACCAGCAAAGTCTGCCTTTATTAAATAGAGATCGCGTTACATTCCATTCAAAGGAGGAACTCAGACGTGGTGAGGGATGTGTCCAGGCTGGACCCCAGTCCCGAGTGAGTGTGAGGGGTGAGGAGGGGTCCAGGTCCTGCCTGGCCCACCCGGGTTCTGTGTCTGAGGCTTGGCAACCAGAGCCCCCGATGTCTGAATGGTCTGAGAACAGGCTGAGAACAGGCATCCAGAGGCCCCATCAGGTTTTAATGTGGGAGAAAAGTGTCCTAATCCTTCCAGAGGTGGTGGAGGTAGGGCCTCCAGGAGCATGGGCTCAGACAGGGGAGGAAGGGAGGAGAGACCCTGATCCATCTTAAGAATGTTCTGGGTGGTTCTAAGCAGACAGAGGTTGGCGTGGACGACAGCCCTGGAGGCCTGCCAGCCCCTCCTAGCCCTGCTGCCCAATGGGGAGGTCATCTGGGAACAGGATGTAGAATGGCCACAAGGGGGTGCTGATGGCTCAGGGCTTGGAAACTGGGGTGGGGGATACCCTGGGGATCTGGCCACCAAGAACAGTCCCTTTCTGAGGACCCACAACAACAAGGCACCTGCAGGCAGCAGCTCCAGGACAGGGGAGGGATACTGGCTGCCTCAGGGGTCCCCTCCCAAGGGCTGAGCCCCTGAGTGCGGCTCCAAGTTCCTTGGTCTTTGGTGCTTCCTGGAAGTCTCCCGGTGGCCTGTAGTACCACAGGGGAAGAGTCACCTCATGAGGTCCTGTTCATCCTGGGATGGACGCTGGGGTACGGCTCAGTGCTGCTCCCTGGCCAAGCCAGCTGTCCAGCTTCAAGCCCCAGGCTGGCTCCATGACCCCATCTTCTTTCTGTCTGTCCGTCCTGGGCAGGTGTTGGCTCCGGCTCAGAGCCCCAGCCAGGCCTGGGCCATGCCCTAGACCTCCTGGGGGAAGTAGCCGAGTTTGGCCAGCGACATCTCCTTCCTCAGCCTGGTGATCTCCCAGAACATTGGCTCCGCTGCAGGCGAGAGAAGGTGGACACTCGGTGCCAGCTCAGGGTCCCCTCTGGCAGATGGCCTAGCCACCCCCTCTCCTAGCGTTGGGCAGGGCAGCTGGCCCAGGACCCCAGGGCTCCCCGGGGCCCCCAGGACAGATGACCTCAGTTCAGAGTCCACAGTGGTTCTGGAGAACACCCGTCAGGGAACAAAGTCTGGTGGAGGAGCCTCACAGAATGGGGGGAGGGAGCCAACAGGTGGGCAAAGGGTGAGGTGGTGACTGGCCAGCACTTATTCAGGCAACCATGAAGAGGCCAACAGGGAAAAGTGGGGATTCAAGGGGAGGCCCCATCCTGCAGAGCCCAAATGCCAGGACACTGACAGCGAACCTTCCCTATAGGCCTTGCGGCCTGCAAGAGGTTTCTGGCAAGAGAAAGCTGGCAGGTAGGCGGGAGCCCTCAGGCGGGCTTTCCAAGTGAGCCAGGGCGGCTTCATTTCTCCAAGGAGCTCAGCACCTTCAGCCAGAGCAGTCTATGGCCCCGCCCGGCGCCACCCTCCACCGGCCACCAGGGGGCGCTCACCGTCCTGCCGCACCAGGCCTTGCTGTATGTAGCGGATGTAGGTAAAGAAGTTGCACACGGCGGTGATCTGTGGGCAGAAGTGGGGAGGCTGGGGCCCGCCAGCCCTCAGGCTGCGCTGGGGGTCCCCGCCCAAAGCCAGGGGCCAGAGTGGGAAGCCTCGCATGGGGTCACTGCCGAGGACCCCAGAGACACTGCAGTGATGGACTCACCCTGGCCCGGGAGGACGGCGAGATGTAGTAGTGGCTCTCGGAGTCTCCCAGCCGGATGCGGTGGCGGCAGGAGCGGGCCAGCCCACTCAGGGCACAGGTACTGGGGAAAGCAGGGCACGGGGCACTGCAGCACGCCCACCCAGCACCAGAAGAGGGCACAGAGGGCCGGACTGTGCCCAGGAGGGGCCTGGCTTCCCTCCAGGCCCAGCTCCAGAGGAGCCCGGGACTAGGCCTTGCAGGGAGGCAGCTCCAGAAATTTAACTATGCTGGGCCACAGCCCTTGTCCATACTGGCAGGAGAACTTGGTCCATCTTGGTGGAACCAAAGGTATAGCAAAGTCTCACCCTCTGTAGCCTCCAAGTCACCCCTTCCCCCAAATATGAGGACCCCAGGAGGCAAGCATGAGGCTCCCTCTCCATGGCCAGCCCCTGGTGGAGCCCAGGGGAGGCGGGGCTTTCCCAGGTGGGCAGACAGGCTCAGGGGCTTTAAGCTTACTTGGTGCTGCCACACTTGACTGCGGGCACCTTCACCGCGGGCAGTGTATGCGAGGCCACGGGCTCGATGGTGAGCGTGTTGTCCTCCACGGCCGCCCGGACCAGCGCCGAGAGCTGCGGCAGACCAGGGTGGTGGGGTGGTGGTGAGGGGCAGGCCTCCAGCCGAGGCGGGCACTCCCAGCTGGCGGTGCTTAGCCCACTCACCTCCTGCATAGTGAAGTCCAGGCAGGGCCCCACGTCCTCCCGGTACACCCGTCCCAGGAAAGGGGAGCTCTTGTCCAGGGTGGGCGATTCCCGCCAGGCCTGGAATTCTGCAAACAGGGTGGTGTCTACCTGTGAAAGCGGGCGAGCAGGGCGGGGTGGTCAGAGCACTGGGGCTGGCACAGTAGAGCCAGCTGGAGCCGAAGGAGGTGGGGAGCCAGGGAGGATGCAGGGCAGGCCCCAGCATGCCAGTGGGCCCTCCCCAGTGGCCAGCCCACTCAGGGCACAGGTACGGGAGAAGGCAGGGGACAGGGCGTTGGAGCACGCCCATCCAGCCGGGCGTGGAGATGCGGGGGACTGAGTCCCAAAGAACTCCCTTCCTCCCTTGGCACCAAAGAATCTAGAACTGTGTCAGTTCCAGGAGTGTCAGTGGCACTGGATTCGGTTTGGGTCCAGGGCACATCCTGACCACCCTCACTATGTCCTTGAGGAAAAAAAAGTCTAAAAGTGTCTCTGCAGGTGCCCACAGTACAGGCAGTGCACACAGGTGCCCACGGGCACACGCAGGTCCCCCAGGCACACAGCACGCACAGGCACATGCGCGCGGCGGGAAGCACACGGGCTGCCTGCTCCCGGGAGGAGCTCGCTGCGCACATGCAGAGTGGGGCGGCTAGCGAGGGGCAGCCGTTACCTGTCGGGACAAGGAGAGAGAGGTAGCGGAGGTGGGGGCCACGGGTGGCTCCCTGGGTGGGAGCTGCCAGGCCGGCTCATAGGTGAGGTGAACCGCCTTGCTGGGGATCACACAGAGGAGCAGGGAGAGGAGGGGGGCCAGCCCGGGCTGGGCAGGAGGCCGGGGCAGGCAGGCGCAGAGACAGAGGGAGGAAGGAGAGGTTAGTGTCTAGTCGGAAAGCTCCAAGCTCAGAAGGGGGCTAACGGGTCTGGCTGTCCCTCCTCCCTAGAAGCTTGGGGAACCAGGGCAGGACGGAGCTGGGGCCACCTTGGAGGCAGAGATGCCCAGAAGCTGAGCATCGAGGCACTCACTGTGCCGCCCTGAGCTGGGCTCCGGGTATCTATGTCTCGCTAGTTCCTCCTGTGCCCCAGGAAGCCCCATCTACCACATGGGGAAACCAAGGTGCTGAGGGGGGCCTCACTTGCCCAGGGACATCACAGCCCACTGACCTTAGCTAGGCCCAGGTGCTCCACACGCCCACCCTCGGGAGGAGGGGACAACCCCAAAGGCCATGCACTCTTGGCAGCTCAGCCAGAGGATGCTGAGGACCCTCAAGTCCAGAGGTGACAACCCTAAGACCTTGTCTTAAGTCCTGGGGGTAGGGCTGTGACCACATGGTCTGGGCAGCCTCTCCCCAGAAACCCAGCAGCAGCCTCTTTAGGCCTGAAGGGTGTGTGTCTCTATAGACCCCCAGGGGCAGGCCCTCAGTGCAGAGACCTCCACCGACTGCTGGGAGGGGTGAGGTGGGTGCCAGATCCCTTTCACAGAGAGAACCTTCCAGCCCTCACAGCCAGGGGCCCGGAGAGGGCAGGACCAGCTCCAGGTCACACAGCCAGTGTCGTGCCTGGTCCCCGCCTGACAGTGGGCGCTGTCTGCCTTTTCTGTGTCCACTGCCTACCCGCCGCCCTCACCTCTTTGCCCTCCTTGTCCGGGGTGAGGAGGTGCCCCGCGGCAGGGCACACAGCAGGGCAGAGGGCGCTGCTGGTGCTCTTATGGCGAGAGTGGCCCTTGCGTGGCACGGCCTTGGTGGGGCTCAGCAGCTGGGGGTGCAGCTCGCGGTTGGGGGAGGCTGGTGTGGATGTGATGACCAGTGTCTTCAAGGCTGTCACCTCTGCCTGCAGCATGTCGATCTGGCTGGGGCAGGACAATGGTCAACTACAGCCCAGGGCTGATGCCCCAGTTTCAGGTTCCCCAGCGGGACCTCGTCCATCCAGGCTCAGGGTCTGAGCACCTAACTTACCTGTTACCCCTGGAACTGAGGACACCCACTTTACGGGTGGGGGCTGAAACACCCATTTTATATACAGGGAAACTGAGGCTCTGAGACCTGCTGGCCTGGGGTCACCTGGTGAGCCAGGACTCTTAGCAGCTGGCTGGGCTTCCCATGAGGGGTCCCCTGCAGCCAGGAACAGCCCGGCCCTCGCACTGCTTGCCGGGGCTCACACACCCTGCATGAGGTGTCTGCCCGGAAAAGGGGGTTGAAAGGAGGGAAAGGAAACTGCCCCGAGCACAGCATCCTCCCACCCCTGAAAGGTCCTCGTGGTGCAGGGAAAACAAGCTGGAGTCCCCGGGATGCCTCTCCCACCCAAGGGGCCGCGTTCCAACAGTGTCACCTCAGACACCTCTGGCCCACCCTCCCTGGCCACTGGCGCCGGGCCTCCAGCCTCCCGAGGATCGGGGAGGTGCTCGCCGGGCTGGGCAGGCGGGCGGAGGGGCTCACCTTGCCCCGAGCCTCCTTCAGCTGCTTTTCTGACGCCGCCTGCTTCACGTTGGCTTCTCGTACCATCTTATGGGCTTCCTGGGAAGAGGCAGGAGCCGCGTGAGTGGCGAGGAGCTGACAGCCACCAGGAGAGAGTTCCCTGGCCTGCCCCCAGGCACCGAACCTCGAACAGGCTGGCCGTCAGCTCCTCCAGCTCCCGCTCCAGCTGCTCCCGCACCTTGGACAGCCGCTCGCACTCCTCGTCCTTCAGCTTCAGCTCCTGGGGTCATGCGGAGGGCGGCTGTCAGCCCCACGGGGGCCCTAGGGGCTGCCTGGCCCCTGCCTGGGCTCCATGCCCTGGGCACCTGATGGGGGCCCCCGGGCCCCCACTTATTTCCCGGGATGGCCTAGTTTATGGTGCATTTTCCATTTAGTGCCGCGTGAGGCTGAAACCTCAGCTGAGTCCACGAGGGCTTGTGAAAGTCACTTGGAAGCCCCAAGAGCGGGTCTCTTCTCCGTTCTCCCGCATGCCCAGCACAGGCTGGTGTGCAGATGGCTGTGGGAGGGGCATGATACCCCCGGGCATTCAGTGCCAGCCCACAGCTCCCACGAGGTGCCCCTTGTCCCCAAGGTCCCCTCCCACCCCAGGCCCTGCCCTCAGAGCCCCACCTTCTGGGCTCTGTGCAGCTCCTCCTTCAGGAACTCGGAGCCCTTCTCTCGGATCTCCATGGAAGAGCTGCGCAGGCGCGACACATTCAGCTGGGTGGCTGCAGGGCCCTCCTCACCTTGGGCCTCCTCCCCAACAGACGTCTCCGCCAGGCTTCCCGGGGTCTCCCTGAGGTTTTTACCGGGACCCACACTCTTCCAGGGGACGGGGACAGCCTTGAGGGGCGGCAGATGGCCCTCATCTGGTTGGGGCTGGCTGAGAGGCAAAGAGCAGACACAGAGTGAGGTCCTGAGCCCTGGACAGCTAAGCCCAGGGACACACCTGCCACTCTGGGCCTCAGTCTTCCCATCTGTAAAATAGGATCACCACCACAGAAGCTCTCCCAAAATGAAGGAGCATGAGGGATAAGCACAGCACCCATTTATCTTTGTTACACACCCCCTCTCGTCCAAGGCCTAGGACAGCACTTGGCACACGGTGGTTAGCACACAGCAGCTTGTCAGCACATAGCAGGTGGTCTGCACATAGCAGGTGGTCTGCATACAACAGGGGTTAGCATACACTAGAGGTGGTTGGCACACAGTCGGTGGTCAGCACACAACAGCTGTTGGACAGTCTGTTTGTCCAACAGATGACCAGATGAGCCAGTGCCGAGAACCTGAGTTTCTACTTTCGTAAAGTGGGGACATACCTGGCAGCCCCAGCTTGGTGACTGAGTGGTTCAGAGATGTGCGTAGAACCTTGACACACCAGCTGCACTTAAGTGGGAACTGCCTTCTTGTTAATGCAAATTTTAGGCCAATTCTACTCCAGGCTAGGCAGACCGGAGAGGAAGGACCCAGCCAGGGCAGGCAGGGCAGAGGGGGGAAGTCTGCGTGCGAGCAGCAAGGCGGGCAGACCCACTTCCTGCCCTGGCCCTGCGGGGAGCAGTCCAGCGCCCCAGGCTTCCCTTGCCACCTCAGGGAAACGCTGCTGTCTGGGCTTCAGGGCCTCCCCTCCCTGAAGCTGAAGACCCTAGAGGCAGTGTGGGGTAGGGGCCAGCAGCCTGCTCTCACCCCCTCCACATGCCCGAGGGGGAGGGGGAAGAATTCCAGGAGCCCCACAGTGATTTTTGCCAAGACAGCACCTCTGGCCTGGCTGACTCAGCCGAGCTGGAGCCAGCAGCTTCCGAGCTGGGCTGAGGGTAGGGGGCTGGGCCAAGCCGCTAATGACAGTGGGGGAGTGGAAGGGAGGGGGCTCAAGGGGGAAAGCCCAGGCCCAGGCATCATAGGATACAGGACTGCTCAGGGGAAAGGGTTGAGGACCACTTCCTCCTCCCGTCCTTGGCTCCTGAGAGGGTCACCAAGCATTCCCTGGGCCTCAGTTTCCCCTCAGGTCACACAAAAGGACTGGGCATCCTGGGACCCCAGCACTTAGTCCACTCCCAGCCCTTCATGTGGCCCCAGGGGGCCAGTCGCCCAGTCCCATTGCCTTTTTGCTTTGGAACCGGCCTAGCGTGTGGCCTGGAGGTGCCTGGGTGGGTCCTGGCGGGGCACGGGGCTGTGCGGAGCGTAGTGCGCCCACGAGTCATGCTTGTGCATACGCCATCTTTCCGGATGCCCTTGTCTCCCAGTTCCCACTGGCTGGGGGTGTCCCTGGAGCTTGGGCCGTGGCAGGGCCGCGGTGGCCCTGGCGTGGGTGTGTGCCCTGGGGACTCACGCTGTGCCCTGCCCGTGTCATGTCATTTAAACACTCTCCACAGGGCCTCCCCGGTGGCACAGCGGTTGAGTGCTGGGTTGCGAAGCTGCCCGCGGCCTCTGCAGTGCCGGTTCGATCCCCGGCTGCTCCCCGGCCACTGGAGGAGGGTCCCACATGGCGCGCAGACCTCTCCTGCCGCCCGCTGCTCCCCTCAGCAGTGTACTTCGGTCCTTCTGCCTGCTCTGCTCCCTGCTCTGGCTCTGGTGAATTCTCTCACCCTCCCGCGCTTCTGACTGTACCCAGTGCTTGTATAAATAAATAAATAAATAAATCTTTAAACACTCTCCACAGCACTGGTGGTGTGTCCCCACCCTCCAGATGGGGGTGGGCTCAGGAGCCGAGAGTCTCACAGTGTCTGGGTGGCAGTGCCGGGGCAGGGGCTGCCCAGCTCCCCAGTCACGGCCGGCTGCGGGGGAGGGGGTGGGTCGGAGCATCTGTCTCAGAATCGAAGGCTGCTGGCCCAGGGGGACTTGGGAGGCTCCTCCTTGGCTGCGGACAGGAAACCTGACCCGGTTCCAGCCTGAGCTGGCGTCTCGGGCTCTGCTCAGGCCCAGAAACCACCTCCCAAGAGGGAAAGGGGGGGTGCTGAGAACACGGGCCAGGTCAGGCAGCCCAGGGTCCACGCCCACCACTGACCTGGGGTATAGGAGAGCCTTGGGGGGTGTTACTGGAATTCTCTGAACCCACTTTCCTATCCCAGAGATGGGGGTGAGACCCTGCAGGAGGCGCATAAAGAATGGGGTGAGAAGTCACTGACTTGGGCACCTGTCAAAAATGTGCCATCTGCAGCCATGTCTGGCCCGCACACTGCCACGCTGGCCCAGGCTGCGCCCGCAGCTGAAACCAAAGGCCCGGGGGCGGTGCCCCAGCTGAGAGTATGGAGGATGGTGCCCAGCCCCATGTCCTAGCGGGGCGACATGGCCTAAGTCACTCAGCCTTGGTAGGGGCAGCAAAATCTACCTCGGGGGTGCCCCATTCAGTAGAATGAGCAAGAACTGCAGTCCAGGTGGTGGGTGGCCCACAGGGATTGCTCAGGACTTGGGGCAGGACCTAGTCCCTGCACCTCTTCCACTGCAAAGACTATGCCTCCACCCCCAACACCTCCCAGCCACCAGCCCCTCCCACCACCATGGAGCTTTGTCCACCAGCGAGGTCTGGGTCCCTGGTAACCATGAGTGACTACCTCTTCTGCTGGTCCTGAGGGCACGGGTTGGGGGTGTAGCTGATCACCCCCATATTTTCCCAATAGGCTCTCACTTCAGCCCACTGCCAGGGGGATGGGCCCTATTTTGAAGCCAGAGCAAACAGTGGTCCAGGGAAGCCAGAGACAGTCTCTGTGATACCCTCCCCCACCCTGGGGGTCCCAGTGGCAGAGTGTGGGAACAGCAGGACCATCCTTTAACCACCACCTGCTCCTCGTCTGGATCGGGGGTGACGGGAAGAGAGGGGTGCTCAGGTCAGCTTGAGTCCCGGGCCCAAGTCAGCACCCCCTATTGTCCACACACTTCAGCTTCCCAGACCAGCCACCCAATACCCGGGAAGATGAGAGCTCACGGCCTGGGCAAGCAAGGGTGACCACTTATGTTCTGCGCTGCAACCCTGCCCCCAGCCCACAGGCCTCTGCTCAGCCCCTCTTTGCCCTCATCCCTGTCAGAAATGAGAGTCAGCATGGGCTCGCTGCAGACATCACTGGGGAGAGAGCTGTTCAGGGGCTGGACATAGTAAGAGTCAAGGTCAGGGCAGATGGGGGCAGCCAGCACACCCACCCCCCACACACAGCTAGTTCCAGAGATTGGAGCCTGGGCAGGCCAGGAAAGGCCCCATCGGGTCACTTCCCCAGGAAACACAAGGAGGGGTGCAGTCACGGCAACACTCACCCCGCAGGCTGCCCTCCCAGGGCCAGCGGGGCTTCGTGCTGGTGCACAGCGCTGCAAGGTGAGAAGGGGATGCTGCATCCCATACCCCCTGGTCACCGCTGTGGGCCAGGGGGGCCTGTCAGAAGCCCAAGTAAGGTCCTGCGTGGCCCTCAGAAGGTCCCGACCACTACCAGCCCAGTGGACCAGCCTGCCATGAGGCCTTTCTGCCCTCAACCTCCCATGCCCAATCCAAGGCAACCTCTTCGCGTCAGAGGTCTCTGGGCCAGTGGGCACGGTGGAGCCATCAAACAAGCAGGGGAGCACAGAAACTGGGGGAGGGAGCGGTGGGGAGGACATGCTGCCGCTGCGACCCCTTGCCCTCTGCTAGGCCCCAGGCCCACACTCCAGGCGGGAGCTGGGAGCTGGTTCGGTTTGCAGGATCTGGGACCCGGCTCTGGGTCTGGACCAGGGCACAGTGGTCCAGTTTAGAGCCACACTCACGCCCTCCCCGGCAGTCCAGGAAGCCCCGGCCCGGAGACTTATAGCCAAGCGGCTCGTGTCCAGGGGCCACGGGAGCCCCAGGAAAGGGGCCGCGCGTGTCGCTCTGCCCACAGCCCAGCCCGGCCAGCCTGCAGCCAGGCCAAGCGCTCAGCCCCAGACCCGCAGATGTTGTCACACGTGACCCTCGCCTTGACGGCTAGTGAGAGGCTGTCCCTAGGCTGGTTTCACTGGCGAGGCACCCGAGGCTCAGAGAAGGGCGGCAGCCTGGCCGGAAGGCACAGCAAGGAAGTGGCGGGGTGGGAACAGAACGAGAATCCAGGCGCCGGCGTGTCATGTGACCTGTCACCGAGTCCTGACAGAGGAAAGGGGTGAATGGTGGTTTCAGAGAAGTGGGGCAGGATGCAGATGGGGTTTGAGGAAGTTGGGGGCCGTGCTGGGGGCCGTGAGGGGTGTCCAGCCAAGGCTGCTGAGCAAGCCAGGCAGCTTGTATGGGCGGGGGTGGGAGGACCACAGCCTGGGGAGGGGGATAGAAAGAAAACTTCCAGTAGTTAACAATTAAAAAAAACCCACAGAGAAGGTGAATGAGAACAGGGGTGTCCAGGGAGAGGATGGGTAACCGGGAGGGGGTCTCTCAAGAATGCAAAGGGGTGGCCACTGGTCGCACCAGGTCAGAGGGGGCAGCCTGAGCATGGATGGGGGATGAGTGGCAGGGAGCTTAGGGCTAGCCTGTCCACTTGAAGATCTGAGGAGGTGTGTGTTCCCAGAAGAGGGGGAAAATTCTATAAGAACAGGATAATAGTGTCCTACAGGGCAACAGAATGCCAGGGGGTCAGCACAGCTGGACCCCAGGGGTGGGAGGAAGCAGGAGCAGCGGCAGTGCCTGGTGGGAGAACATGGAGCCAGAGGGAAGGTAGGGTGAGCCACCTCTCCACCCACACCCCAGACCGGCCTGACGGCTAGCAGAGTCTAGCTGGTGTCCCTGCTGGGAGCCAACACAGGGCCTAAGAGGGTGGGAGGCTCACTCTCTGCCCAGGCAGGATGGGTACACTGTACGTGCCAAACACCTGACTATTCAGCCCTCAAAAAATCTGACCCTTTAAAACCGCAAACCACATGGGCAGTGCCATTCATGAGCCAGGCCCCCTCCCGCTGGAGCCATGC